GCGTTTCAAATCCATAGAGAATCATCACTTTTCGAAGCATTTGTGAAGATTTCTTAATAATTTGATTTTTAAAAAATTATCTTATTTTTTAAAAAAGATTATCCGTTCATTCATTTTTACATGTTTGCGATAAAGATTTTTATACAGACATTTAAATAAACAAATTATTGACAATTTTTATTTATATAATACATATATAATCGTGTACATTATATAATTATAAGATTTTTTACAAACAAAATTTGCTTTGTGGATATCTACTTGTTATTTCTTATATCGATAATTTATAAGGATGCATCGCATATGTAGATATGCATTGTACGATGTATGTGTGTATTCGTCTAAGAAATCTAATTTAATTATTAATCTGATACATATTTCAGAGTTTTAGCAGAATTCTAAGATTGAAGTTATAATAATTAAAACAAATATAATTATTTACAATAATTTAAAAGATTTATTTAGTATCATTATTATTAAATTGATTAATTAAATTTGTGCTATTATTTCAACTCTATTTAAAATTGTGTTTTAAAAAAATTCAAAATATAAAAATATTATTAAGCTAAAATATTATTACTAAGATTCAGCTTGTCGTTTATTTGTATTATTCACATATCAGCCTAGTTTCTTATTATTGATTACTAATAATTAAATTATTGGATTCAGCTATATAAACACACACATAATATTAGCTAAAAATATTTTTTTGTATTCCAATATTACCTTTATTTAGATCGCGTTGTTTCTATTTCATTGTACAGCTATATCTTGCACTCCTTACTCCATTAAGTTCTTACTGCGCTCCTGATACTCTTATACATCATCTATATGAATTTTCATACAAAAAAGAAAGAAAAGGAGTTTGTGCATAGTAATTTACCTCTACAATAACTTATCTATTGACATCACACTATTATTAGTCACTTCGCTAATATATTATATATCATAAAAAAATCCTTTTCAATCTGAAATATAATCATAATGGAAATCCCTTTATTGTGCGGTGTGGAAATATCAACATCAGAATGAGTAATTTGATATCATTTCCTTGTGTATTTTGATGACAAATTTCCTACTTGAATCATAATTGTGTTAGGCATCTTCACTTTTAATGGATTTATTTATTTATTTATTTATTTATTTAGAAGTTTTTACCTATTTACATAAAGATTTCAATATACTTTACATTAGGTCATTTTTTTCCTATTTATAGATTTTACAGTATTGCAGATTTTACAAAAAACGTGAACCGCAAATCAATAGATGTATTATGTGCCATCAACGACTTAACAAAATTAGAGGTGCACTTACGTATTGATGATATCCTATAGTATTATTATTTAGATAATTGACCAAAGCATTGTTCTTTATCAAATGATTAGATATATTATCAATATTATTCACATGCACGTTACGCACCTTTCAGAGTTTTAGCAAAATTCTAAGACCACACTCTTGAGTTAATATTTATGATTAGATATATTGAAATTTGATTAAATTTGATTTCATCCTATGTATAATATAGATATTCCAATATAGGAATCAAATCCCTTGACATTTAATAATATATAAATTCGAAGAGATTTTAAATTAGCAATTTAATCAGCAGCATAAAAGCATATAATAAAAACCAATTTCTTCATATAAGAAATATATACGTTTCGATCATACAATAAATAAATCAAAAAATTGTTGCAATAAATTAACAATTTTTTTCAACCTTTTTACTGCGTTGATGAAGGCTAGAAACGTACATTTTTCTTTATTATATGATGAAATAATTTTTTTATGACTTCATTTTTAATAATTTTTTTATTATATAACTAAATGTCAAATATTTTTTAAAATTTATCAACTATATTTAACATTAAATATAGTTTATTGTAAGAATAGTTCATGAATTACAAAACCGACTTCTAATAGTTTTGCCTCATTTTAATTTTAAACATAAGAAATCCAAATTATTCTCAAAATGGCTCTATTATCATATTAATATTATATTATCTTTTAAATATATACTAAAAAATTTTTCGTCAAAATTACACAGTAAAAAACATTGCTTATTTGTGTTAAAACCGATTCTTATTAAAATTTTTGGATTAAATTTTTAACATTACGAATATTAATTTAACATGATGTGATTATGTTATTTGGATGTTATGTTATTTTAAATTGTTTGAATATACAATACAAATAATCCAATTTGTGAATAAGTGAACAAATAATACAAAACAGTAGTAGTTTAAAAAATATAAATGAATGAATAAATGAATAATTAAATGAAAGATGAATGTATGTTAATTTAACATATATTATTAATGTAAATGTTAATTTTATTGAAGGAATATGTTTCTACAATTTATTTCTAAATTTGTTAAAGAATTATATTTTTTGTTAATTTTTGCACAATGTTTGTGTTATTTTCTAACATATTCATTTTATGTTATTATTAATACAATTATAATTAATACAAAAATTTGAACCTAAAACACGAGAAATGTGTTAAATTTAAAACAAATTTTTTAATTGTGTAAGATTGCAACTTTTTTATTTCATTTTGCATTAATCATATTTCATACATATACATATACATTGACAAATCGCAGATGAGTTTAAGCAAATGTCTGAGACTCAGATCAATCTTTTATTTTTTTCCGCTATTTTTTCTACTCCAAAGGACAAAATATTTTTTGTAGTACGTGCGAATCGAAAAATAATCTCACGCGTATCTCTACTACGCATGCGCATTAAATCACGTAATAGTAACGTGACATGCGAGTTCCTCGTGGTGGTTAGACGTCAGAACGCTCATTGAATGTCGGACGAGCCAGTGTATCGCAGTGTTGTTGAAACATTTTCTCCTTTTCACACACGAGATGCACAATCGTTCGCTTTCCGAAAGACGATGCACCGTCGCGAAGAAAAATCCTTCTATCGTGAATGAGAATAGAAGAGGTGAAAAAGTTGTTGAGAAACAGAAAACGACGCCATGTAGACTAATTAAATGGTCTTGTCGCAATCACTTGATTGTTGGTACGTACTAGGAAAAACTGTAGTATCTAACTGTGTATACATAGAAGATAAAATACTTGCCATATCACGCGTGTTATTTGATTATAATTTTCTGATCGTAATTACAATTGTTTAAGATGCATTTTGAAATGCACTGACAATATCAAAAATCTATAGTGTTATCTATGTATATCTGTAATCTATGTATATCTATGTAATACGTGAATGTAACGTGAATTACAGACTTTCAATATAGTCGTAGTATATTGAAAAAAATGTCGTCAATTTTATATATAACTTGAAAAAACGTGAAATTCTTCAAGTAAGGAGCTCCGCACAATAAAGGGAACAAAGAACAGAGAATAAGAATCAACCTATTAGAAACTGTGTATTTCACAACACATGATTTCTGATAGGTTCAAATTTTTATTCTCTGTTCTTTTATTGTGTGGAGTTCCTAAGAGTTTGGACATCGTTCAGACATTTTTGATTGGTCCACCATTTTTAGCTGCTGCTTAAAGTGGAATGAGATAGATATACATATGTATCTTGGTCGCTTGACGAATCGCTTAGAATTCTGTCTCTCACACTATATTTAACATACATTAAAGGCTGCTTTATATGAATTAACGTATCTAAATGTAGATATAATTAACTTTGATAATGAAATAATACAAGTATATTTTGTTAAATAACGTGATGATATCATTATTAAGTACTTAATGGGTATTTAAAATATTTATATGTTTAAATATTCTTATGCTTAACTTTGCTAATTTCATGTATAGTAGCTTTTTAATATTATTCTAGTAATGCAAGTAATCAAATTCGATTTCATTTTATATCTTGCGTATGTTAGAATTAGATAGATACTTCATTCTACCTTAATTAAGCGTTTCGTCCATTATATTCAAGATGATGTTCAAATTATTTTTTTATTTAAGGAACTCTAAAAAAACAAAATTTACGTCGTACCAACGTAATCAAAATGCAGAAAAATGTCTTTGATTACGGAAATTCGAACGACATTGACTTGGTTTACGCAATTATTCACTCCAAGAATTTTATTTACTTTACGCAATTAATTAGATAATTCATTCCGTGATTATTCTTATGAGATAGATTGATTTATGAAGAACTATGTTGTTTTATCAGAGAGATTATTAAAACACAGTCATTATACAAATATAAACAAATATAAGACAAGTAACAGTCATTATAAAAATATAAACATGCACTGAAATGTTCCATTACAAATGATGTAATTTTTAAGCTTTAAGAGTGTTAAAAGGACACGAAATTTCAGATTTCTTTTTTTCATAATTGTTAACATAATTTGTTTTCTTCATAATTTTTCTTCGTAATTGTCTTTATCAATTTTCTTAAAATGCATAAGGAAATTTTTTGATAATGCATTTAATCATATGCAATTTCTGTAAACGTGTAGACTTTAGATATATTTACGCGATTTATGATAATTTATTATAATATATTATAATATATAATCACAACATATATTTGATATTCATATAACATATAAATTATTAATATTCTTACTCGTGATTAGATTAGGTTGCAAATTAATTTTTATATAGAAAGAGCAGTTTTGCTGAAGTATCTAAAAATTTAGCTAGATACAAATAAAAAAATAATTTTGTTAGATTATCAAAATAATTAGATATTTTATTAATAGGACATTCAAATTGATTGCTAGAATATACAAATTTGTAACATTGCTTGAGTTTTTCATATAATTATAATTATTTTGATTATAATTATAATATATTTATTTTATATATAATTATTTTGATGGTCCAACAAAATTATTTTCAGATCTATAGTTAAATTTTTAGCTATTTCAGCAAAATCATTCCTTCCGCATAAGTATTTTTGGAAATATTGTATCGCGAAATTGTTTATTGATATTCGAGAAGATCAGTGAATTGTCTATCTATTTTAATTTGCGATTATTTATTGCATTTTAGTGATCATACTGTTGGTGCTCTTGGAAATACTCGTGCAACCGTACCAGCAGATCGGTTTCTTTTGCAATGATCCGAAGATCTCATTCAAATTCACAGGTGACACAATCTCTATAGGCTTAATCCTAATCTTCAGTGTCATCATGCCTTTACTAGTGGTAAATACTCCTTTTCACATTCTTGCTTCTTCTAATCTTATACTAAATTTATGAAAAAAATGAATATTAAATCTTTATATTATACGAAAGATATTTTTAGTTGAACGTATTTTATGCAATATTAACTTAAATCAGATGACTTATGATTTATATTTTTTTTATTATATAAGTCGGAAATCAATCTCTATAATATCAACGATTGTATATATATATAGAATGATATTCTATATGTATTGATATTCCTTATGTATTCTAAAAGATTTTAAAGAATGTTTTCTCATATTAATTCCAGACGAAAACTTCATATGACCGAAATGACTTACAATTAGTTTTAAAGATACAAAATGAAAACTGAAGGAAAAATTTCATTTTTTTTTTCAAAAATTTCAAAAATCATTCGAGCTATTTTAATGAAGTGTTAAACATACACAAAGTTTCATCAAAATAATTTTGGAAAAAAAGTAATTTTTTAAATTAAAAAAAAAACGGATTTTTTTCAATTTTGATACTTTATACCTTTGAAACTAAATACTTTTGGACATATAATCAATATAAAGTTTCTGTCTTAAAATGTAAGGAATTATCACTTAAAATTTTTGAAAATACTTAAGGACCATCCTATATATATAGTCAGCAACTAAAAGGCAACTTCCTTTTGGATTTTCGGAATGCAGCTTGCTCACATAAATAAGAATCAATCGCTCGGTGAGTAAACTGCATTCCGAAAGCCATCGAAGAAAAAGTGTTGCAACCTTTCTGTGATTGACTGTACATATATAATTATTTTTTTTTTGTTTTTGAGATATTAAAGTGTAAGTGAGTAACGCTCATAAATTTTGGATTTATTTCTTGTTTGAAACTGAAAAGTTTGATGCAACAGATCATAACACTAAGATTATAACACGTAAGGTGAGCTATTCAATAATAAGAAAACTAATGAATAAGGAATATGAATACATTTTGATGATCTCTTCGAGTGTCAGTATGAAAAAAAATTTACTTCAACTTGTGAAGAAAAGAAGATTCACAATCTTTTTTTTTCTCGATTCGGCTTTATTGAAATAAGAGTAGTAGGAAGCGTCGAGAGTCACATTTTATAAAGATCCTTTTTGGTCGGTTTCAGATATGGATCGCAGAATATATTTACTATTCTGCTGACAGTTACGAAGACGCGTCATATTATGGCACCCGGAGTAAACTAATCTGGCGCTGGTACGGACATTACGCTGCGGGGATTTTAACGCTTACACTCCTCTGCGAAGCTATGAAAGTCATAATCGGTGAGCCGCGGCCACACTTTCTCGACACGTGCAAACCGCGCGAGGCGGCCAACTGCACCAATGAGTAAGCACCGACCTTTTCTTTCTTTGTCCCGGTTGGCTTGCTACTTAGGCGCAATCCGGTCGACTTTTATGTCATCAACATGTAGGTAGCCTGATACGCGAATGGCGTATTCGTGGGTCTGTATACTATATGGATTCCGGAAAGAAAAGGAGATACGCATGCCAAGCACCTACATATAATTGCGTAGGTTCTCAGCAATGCTGAGAGATAAAACACAAAGAGCTTATTATTTATGTTCTTATCGCAAGACGAATCGCTACGCGCTTTTTTATATCCTTTCTTTATATCAGAATTTTATATAAAAAAAAGAGTAGTTAACCGTAGGAGATATATTTATCAATCGCGAGGAAGGTAAAGCTACATACGGTCGGTTATATAGAGTTCTATAATGCCATTTTGCTGTCAGTTTATACCTGGTCTTGTATCCTTCTAGAATAAAGTATTCATTTGTCTATATTATTATTTAAGTAAAATTATAACGATAAAAACTATATTGGAATTTTGCTTAGAATATTTCAAAATATTTGCTTTAAATTTTATCAATCTGTATCTAATGTGACTGGAAAATAACAAAAATAGTGACATTCTTGTATTTTCTTTGCAGATACATCATTTCTTACACATGCACGAATACCGAGGTTTCCACCTGGTTCATCAACGATTCAAAAAAATCCTTTCCCTCCGGTCATGCCGCTCTCTCCGTTTACACGAGCATCTTCTTGGTGGTAAGAAAATTCTCTTTTACAACATAAAAACTTGACAAACTATTTTTTATAATATAAAATTGAGAAAGAAAATAGAACATCCCACTAGTTTATCCGTAAAGTTCAGCAGCTTGTTGGCAATATAGAGAACTGCGATATCAGCATCGAGTACTTCCGGTCTAATATCGGTAGTCAGTATCTAAGCGACGGAAAAGAATTTGCAAAAAAAATCTATCGGCGGCATATCGATTTTCACGGACCCGCGAGACAGATAGATGAATATGAGAAAGTTGCGAAATAAATTCTCGAAAATACGTAACTCATTTCAAAATAAGAAAAAAATTGGAAGATTGAGAATTTTAGTCAAAGTATATTACGCATCTGTTCCCTCTCACATTCTTTTCTCGCCATCGGATAAAAATATTGTCAAAATAATTAGAAAATAGAAATTATCGTGAAAATACATAATAGAGAGTTCCGTTTGTTCGTCTTTTGTCGCATCGTACACAGTGGTATCTACAGAACCGTATGCCGAATCGGATGTTGTTTCTGAAACCGTGGCTGCAGTGCCTGACGAGTATGTGGGCCGTTACATGCTCGATAACCAGAGTGGGCGACAACCGGCATCATTGGTGGGACGTTCTCATCGGCGACGTCCTCGGGCTTCTATTCGGCCTGTTCGTCGTAATATTATCGTGTCGGCACTTCTGTCTCGAACGTACCGCCGCCAATGCCGCCAACGCTGCGACGCACGCCCTTAACGAGCCCCTGGAGAACGGCCAGATCGGAGGCTACGACATGCAGCGCAAGCATAACGCAGCCAAGAAGCTGCTCAATCCTACCGCCGTCGACATCTCGGAGATCCGAGAAATGAAGGATATCGGACGGACCTGGAGTAAATAAACGCGTTCGACGAGGGGATGATTTCAAGGGTGGACATAGGGAAACACATAGAATCCCGATGATTGAATCATTCATTTCGGAAAAGATCATTCGTTAAAAAATATTGATAGAATATTTTCATTGTACCTGATCTGTTTTTAAGTAATAATAATGTAAACTTTTTTTGATAATAATAATTGTAACATGTAAAGAAATGTAAAGAAATATAATAGAAATGTAACAGAAAGATGCATACTAATGGGTGCAGTCAATGATTCCACTTTAAATCTTCTATGACAGATATTAGAATTCAAATAAATTATTCGATTTTATCTTCACATACACATGAAGATAAAACCTAAAACAAAATAAGAATATTAAGAAAAAAATACAATAATAATATTAATAATACAAGTAATATCAATATAAAAACAACTATTAGTTTATTAGACAATGCTAATAGAGTAACCCTTACAATTAGAATTAACCTAATGCTGTACATATACATATATAAAACATGAACATATATGTATATGTGCGTACGTATCTTCGAGTATATATTCTGTACAGAAGAATTATAGATGGGTATTGAAAATAAGTAATAATAGAGATGAACAAATAGATATCAAGTAAGAAAGAACATGAAATGATAATGAAATAGATACATATCAATTGAAATGAGAAATGGTACATTGAGAAACAGCTGATTTAAAGAATGAGAGAGGAGGATAACGAATTAAAATATTTTACTGCGGTATAAGTAAGTATGCTAGGCGCGCGTCATGTAACAAACAGCTGCATAGCGGCTATTAATAAAGGAGCGATAACATAATAAGTTAATGACAGAGCGGCTTCATACAATTGTATCGATGTACATGCTCTTCACAATTTCCTAAGAAATAAGAATTTTCGAAAACGTCCTTTTTTTCCGAGACGATTGATTCGATCAGGAAATGTGTTTAACATACGAGTTTAGTGGTGGTTTCCTTCGTAGCAAAGATCGAGTGCCGGAACGCACAAGATTTATTTTCGTATTAACAAATAAATTGCTCAGTACGAAATAGTCGAACGTTTTACATTCCACTGGGAGGGGAGGGAGAAGAAATTGCATATATCGGAGTCACGGACGCATCGATCGGCGAGGTTCTCGCAGGTGCGAAGTGACGGCTTAGGGTTGAAACGTTCGCGCTAGGTATGTAAATGCGAGTGATCTACACGGAACTGCCTACCGATCCAATACATAATGTAAGAAACTCGCGGGGCTTACAAATATCGAGTCAATTAATCGTACAGGATGATAATCCAACGAGGGAAATGATTTAGTAATCATCTACCCGAGATATTTTATCGTCCCAGATGCCGATTTCTCTCGACATCTCAAATGCTCCGCTCGTTCTTATCAGTAATTTACACTTACGCTCCCGCAGTTGATTACATTATTTAAGAAGCGTAGCTTTAACCTTCTGATGCACTTTGAACGCAGACAGAACCGAAAATGAGAACAAGTCGCGTGTGCAATTTTTCATGCACATGTACAATATATATTGTAACGTAGTGAAAATCCAGTTATTTTAATTTATGTTATGTAACACAATTTTTGAATGAAAATGAAAATTAAATAGAGTTAGAAGATTGAATCAGTCGACAAAATAATTTGAAGAATAAATCTCGACGAAAGTTTAGACGAAAATTTTAATTTATTCACATAATATTATATAATTTAATGATATTTTCCTAGATATAATTTATTCACATTCCATATGCAGCTTTCAAATATATATCTTTATTGTGAGAAAATATTCTTCAATCTTTTTTTTTATTTATTTATACGCGAACGAGAGGAATGGGAAGAATAACACAGTGAGATTTATACATTATTACAAAAGAAATGCCTTTACGGATGTGCTCGGAAACGAGCGTGTGTTATAAACAGTAGTATTATTTACAGTCACGTAATATAATTCTATTGCCTCGCATTTTATCATCTTCAGATGAACGTAGAGGTGAATGTATTAATACGTCGCTAATGGAGCGATTTTTTTTTTAAATCGCGTACACGACAACTTTCACATCGGCCTTTTAATCGGTGAAAAGCTATTAGATAAAAGTAATACGTATCCTTCGGTAAATTTCACGTACTCGAATACTTTTGCAATGTTATTGAACAGCGTTTGTACGCAAGGAACGCAGTGTTTGTCCGTCCAAGTTATGGACCGTAAATACACAAATAGTATTTATATACTACAATGCAGTCACGCGGTAGATGATAGTAAGTTATGCGAAATTAAAGTGATTACATCGTACGTGAGTGCGCTTGAACGCTGCCGATTGTTATTCTTACGGTATACGCCTCTATATCTATCTATCTAAGAAGCATGTTATTTAATGCACCTGCTGATTTCTGCCACCGTGTAATCGCGAATGCGGGATTTGTACATATGTCGTAGGAGATATCGTATATTTTTAAAAAACGCGAACGCAACGTCAGTCGTAAGAGACTTCGGAATTGTAATTACTATATGTAATTTAATTAGCCTATATGCCGACCTTCCATATAATTGTGATACGTCTCGCGATTGTGTACACATGATGTGTACGCTATAAATGTATGCTACATTATATA